ATATATATATATATACACACACATATATATATAATATATATGTATATATAGGGTTAAAAGATTTTTGTTCAAGAGCAAAGAGAGGACAAATGATGAATGATTTTACTATTTATAGATATCTCTGTCGAGGAGTGCTTGCGTGTAAAATATAATTCTATATAGTATAAATCAATATATTTAATGATTACTTATCAACTTAATTATTTAGAGTAATTATAGGATAAATCCAAATTGTGTAAGATTTAACTGTATACTATTTCTAGGCTATTCCATCCATGATAGCCCTCTTATTCCTTCAGCTCGTAAGTTAATTATGTATTTTTATATTAAAGTAGCGTATACACACAAACATATAAGAAATAAGATACTTGCATTAAGCAAAATTTGAAATTTCGGTCTAGGCTAGGATATAAGAGTAACATATAACATTCAAAATTTATCAAATTTTTTGAAAATATATTGAGTTCTTCTTATATAAAAAAAAGAACAATGCGATATTATCAAAATACTGTCACAGTTTCTGAAACATTAATAATGTGAATATTGATTAAGAGGATGACACCATTTTGCTATACTAATCATTGTGTCACTCTACTATAAATTTTAGTGTCAATTCTGCATTGCGCTAGCACTGTGACGAGCCAAATAACTTTTAAATGTAAAATTAAAATATATTATCTTAAAAGTGTTTTTAACTTCGCCTTACTTGTACCTCAATATCAAATAACGAAAAACGGAATATTTAATTTTCTGGAGCAGTAAAATACATGTATGGTATCATCTCCTTGTAATTATGTGTCAAGCCAATTAATAATTTATTTTCTATTGAAATAAATATGACAATGTCGAATGTTAATAGAACAAAATTTTCCAAAATAATCAGTAACGTAATACAGTGCCGTTAATTACAATTCAATGTATATGAATTCTATTTCTGTCGTTATATTTTTAGTTTTCTTCCTCATCGTCGATTTTGGGTGCTAGATAATACCTGATGTGTCCAATATCGCCAATTTTATATTCACATACTAGAGGCACGTCGTCAGACATGGATAATTGAACTTGGTTGCAAAGAGGGCCAGCTTTAACAAAACAATTCAAATAACGGCAAGAAAACGTTAATTTTACTGGTTCCTGCATATTCACTATTACTGCTTCCTCTTCCTTATCAGCGTCTGCAGTCTGCGCTAATTTGATGTTAGCTGCAAAGAAAATAAAAACAGCTTGTAATTTCATTCATTTATTCAACTGCATGTACAGGATGTCTCTGTACAAATTAATATTTCCGCCTTATTTTATAACAAATATTCTGTATAACATTATTTATAAACATCATAGTATTTTCAACTCTTACTTTGATTAAATCCATATATAAATACATCTATAAAACTTAATCTATTATTACAATTTCATTTAGTGTTTACATATCTCCCCATGAATACATGTTATATGAAAATAAAAACAAACAAGGAAAAGTAAAATATGATGAGACCTATCTGACAAGATTAGAAAAATTTTCAATATACTTTCAGTTAACGACTGAGGACTGAAACTCTGCAATTAGTTTTAGTCTATTGTTGGACATAAAAAATCTCAGCATTGAGAAAAATGTCGAATTTCCTTTATATTTCAACGACGTAAGTAGAGAAAAACAAATTACATGCTATATATTGGTATAGGAATGTAGTCAATTAGGCATTAATTAAAGATCAGAATAGTTATGGAAGTAAGGGGATAGCATGCTAATTATAAGTGTCAGGTATAAGAACAAAGATTCCCAAATTTCAATACGATCGGTATTGAAATTTAAAATTGCGGTATTGAAGCTTAAAATTGTTCTCCTGATTAGATGATATTTATCTTGTATGCGTATATGTATATATTGATATTTCATTGATATTTACCCGAGCCATAATCGCCAGACGCGCTGAATTTTATACCTTCTTTGGAACATGCGAAAGTTATAGATTCCCCAAATTGGCTCAAATCCCTACATATACGGGTAAATTCTGCAGTGGGCATTTTTACAACGCACGAGTATGAAGTCTCCTGTAAAGCAATTACTTGATGAATGATAACTGTGTAGACTTTCTACAATAAGTCATTATCTAAGCTTTAGATCATAAGAAATTAACCAATCGTAGTCAAGTGTTCTTTTCATATTTAACTATGATTGATCAATTTCTTATAGCTTAAAGCCTGGTATTACATTTGTTACACGACAAAAAATTTTTCAATTTGTTAAGTGGCTAAAGGACAGAAAGATTTGAGAAAATCTTTCTGTCTTGTAGCTAATAAACAGGCTTGAAAAGCTTGTTGCATGACAAAAAAACGGATAAATGTAATATTAGCCTGACTTAAAGCTTAGATAAAAGCTATCCAAAGTTGGTGTTTTTTTGGCTTGAAATAAAAACCGGTGCCGGTATTCACCTGTTACCGTTCTTATTTCATTGTTGTTTTGTCGTAGTGCGTGATACTCGATCTCATGGACGACACTAGACTGAAATCGCTAACAGTTATTGACTTGTGTCTTTCACTATGTTTAAAAGTATTCTAGTAGAAGTAAAAGATAGGAACGGTAATAGGTGTGAATTTTGGCACATTTCGATTTCAAGTAAAAAAACACTGACCTTGGACAGCTTTGGCTTAGGTAATGACTTATTGTACAAAGCTCATTAATATCTACTCTATTAATTTAACATAAGTAAACCTCACAGGTATACCCAGATGTTCTTGATCCATATTAATCAGTTTCATCTCATATTCGGCTAGCTTCTCCTTGTTGGGTGATTCAAATATAAAAACAACCGACTCGGGATTGTCCCATGCTCTGAGGGTCACTGTGTCTTCTGCACCAGCGCATCGCAATATCTTTGACATACTGGAAGCAGATTTCATGACTGATTATTATTATACAAAGTGCATTGTTATAACAATTTTCTGATTCTAGACCTCTCTTTTGTATGTTTCTCAAAAATTCGCTTCATTTCTACTTCAAATCTCATAAATTGCACATGCATTTATTTCACTTTATATAACAAAAGACATAAAGCAAAAGCAACCAAAAGAACCACACAAGTACCATTTCTTTGTTCAAAAGACAGTTGTTCGGCGCATAACCTTTAAATTATTATGTCCGTGCTCACCAACTAATGCTCATCCCCATCGATAAATTTCGATCGCAACGATACTTGTCAAAGCCATCGCTTCTGAGATTCAACGAGACGAGGGAAACGTGTGCGTTGTCCATCGCCTGGACCTGAATCCCCGAATCAGAGCATTCAAAAGTCGCCTCGGTTAGGAGATCCTTTACCGCATCCAACACTTTCTTCAGGATCGCGCTTTGTACCAAACGTGCCTCGAACATTGTGTTGAATCTTTTACGTTAACACCGATAAATTTAGCGTTCTCCAGTGATTCCACGGTAAAAAATGCAGCTGCCGAGAAAAATAGTCCGAAGAAACAACTATACCCGCTTAACTTGTTGTGGCTTCTTTGGAAGTTTGGACTGTTTGGAGGTGGTTACCCGCGCTTTTGTCGGGCGTTCGTTTTAAACGGAAATAGATGGCATTCTTGAGTCATAAGTTTATGGCTCCTGCCAGAGAGAAATCTGAGAGAGGCCATTCCGGTTTTCTTTCTGTTATCGTCAAAATCGCTCGTACATTACCGTCAGTACATCCATTTTCAATTTGAGAACTACGTGACTACATACATTTTTTGACACTATCGATAAAATTGTATCGTCGAAAGTAAATGTGGTTCGTCGCTGTACTAAATCCTCAGGCATCGACAAGATACTATTAAAGACCGACATCCTTGGGAGTTCGCGTTCCTTGAATATTGAAGTGATTAAAAGTTAAAAACTGATAATATTGTACTTATTTTATGATTTATTAATTTAATAGACGTGTTTATGCATTTAGAACTCAATAATACTCGATTTTTCTTTAAAATCGTGATTTCAGTATTATCGTTAAAGCTTTATTATCAACAGAGATAATAACTGCAGAGAAAAAAATTGTAATTTTTCTGCAATATATAGGATATTACAGCTTTACAAAAATGCATATTTATTTATGAAACATTTATGTAATAAAAAAATCATGAATTTAATAATGTATGAGCCAAATATTTATGTTAATGATAGCAAATTTATATCAATTGTCGATAATGTCAGCGTTCTTCAATTATCTCCGGGCCCTTTTTATACTGCCGAAAATTTGCTCAGGGTTGATAGTTTTTAATAGTATCTCGTCGGTGCTTCAGGATAGAAGCGTGCCGACTATTTATAGCAGCCAATAGAATTAGTAGTAGGCTAGTGAAATAATTTCCGCGGCGGAAGTTGGCGCGATAGCCAATCAACGTCTCGCTTTGCTCGGAAGTAGTAGATATATAATTTCTACTGCGCGACAAAAGTTGAACTCAATCCAATTTTATTACATTATTTCTAGAAGTTTTGCATGGT